GAGGGAGGGACAGATCCTTGAAAGAAACCCTGATCAGCTTCACTCGGCTACTCTCACCAGCAGTACCGCGTCCTGACACTAATCGGAAGATTAAAGGTCATTGAGTGGGGTGGGGGTTCCTTAACATAAATATTCTCCCCGGTCCTTCCCAAAGAATACTTTGTACTACCAGAGACACCCAATTGAACCTTCTTTCCTCTCCAGATTCCGCCCATGGAAAAAACAATGAAGGCAGCACAGACAGGAAAAAAACAAGCCTCTTTTCTTTCTGTAGCTCTGTGTTTTTTAGAAAGTCCTTAATGTTCATTACTTGGTTTCCTCAGCTTCTGCGAAATCAGTACTAGTATCTTCCTCACCAGGTTGTTGTGCTGCCACTTGCAGAGACTTGGGGTAGCACTGATCTCCTGCGAAATCAGTACTAGTATCTTCCTCACCAGGTTGTTGTGCTGCCACTTGCAGAGACTTGGGGTAGCACTGATCTCCTCACATTGTATCCCTGAGGTTGCTGGGTGGCTTGAACTTCGAACATTTACCTCTCACATCTCTGCACACAGGTAGTCAGAGGTCAGGGGCCAACATCTCTGCTTCTGATCCAAGCTGCCTTCTGGGTTGCACACTGCCAACAGTCTCATCATATCTTCATGGGCTGGAAAGGGGAGAGAGATCTCTGTGATCCCTTTTTAAAGAGTTCTGCCCTCATGACTTTCCATGGGCCCTACCTCTTAACACTATCAGTTTGGAGACTTGGATTTCAACATACAAAGCTGGAAAGATGTTGTCAATTGCACACTTGGAGGCACCAGTAAAAAGCTGCTCTTCTGCTCAACACTGTAGAAGGCAGTGTGTGCTGCTGGCCTGTGGGTACTTGAATGTGTTGCTTCATGGCTGCCATCCTCAGCTTTGCACTTAGATTTGAAAGGAACTTTCTCTTTTTTTCTTGGGGAGAATCCTCCCTTGGCAAGATTGCCTCCTCCCTGTTACTTGTGTCATCACCAGATGAAAGAACACAAGAAAAAATACAGTAAACAAAACCTGCTTTGTGGTAATTACTTGTCCATCTGATTAGAAGACCCGACTTCCTTTACTTGAAGCCTTGAATTTCAGGCTTGATGACTTGCGATCCTGGTCTCCATCCTTCAGCTTTGCACTTAGATTTGAAAGGAACTTACTCTTTTTTTCTTGGGGAGAATCCTCCCTTGGCAAGATTGCCTCCTCCCTGTGCACTAGCTGGACCTTGACATTGCCTCTTCTTTTCCAACTCCAGCCTGAAGATCTTGATTTTCCATCCACTCCCTGAGGAACCCGTTCTGACCGCTAAGTTGTTGCTGTTTCTGGGTCACTGTGGTATTTATCTTCTGAAGTATCACCTAGAACTCTACCAGTCTTATGGTCAGAGCTATATTATTCATGAACTCTTTTGTAGTTGTTGACCAGGGGAGTCCCATACACCCTTGACCATTACTAGTTATTGCCGTTGCTCTTGGTTACTCTCTAGAACTTGATGGTAAGACCTTATGCAAAAGATCCTACATATTTGAATCCTAGAACACAGAAGAATCAAGCTGGTACTGACCTGGAAGCTTCATCTCTCCTGACTAGCTGTCATAGTGCTGGAAGGTGCTATGCATACTTCTGTAGAACAATAACTATCAACCTCACCCAGCTCTGAACCCTGGCAGCTATAATAAAAAGTGGCCTGGCAAGATGTGTCAACTGGTGCAATAGTGGCACAAATACTGTGGGAATAACCAAGCACTTTCTGATTGGATTTAAGTTCTGCTGCACTAGAAGTAGCTCATAGTAGACACTGTTTTCAGGACCAAGAACCTGTGGCTAGCCATATCACAGCCACAGTGGAGCTCCTACACTAACATTCTGCTAAGTAGACATTGTATCAGTCTGACTCCTAATGACATCACTATACCCATCAATTAGTGCATTTTCAACCCTCAGCAGAGAAATTTTATCTTGCAACAAATGGGGATTAGCACAGATACTCAACTGGTCAATGTGCAGAGAATAAGAAACTGCAGGGTGCTAGGCCTTAAATGGGACTTCTGTATCACACACCATGTAAGAAGGGGTGGAAAGACTGTAAGAGCCAGAGGTGGTGAATGAATACAAGGAAACTGTGTTCTCCAAACATAACAGGGAAGTTGCACAAATGAACTCACAGCAGTTGGGACAGCAGGTACAAGACCTGCACATGCCCAAGCAAGACAGATTCTCAGCTTGGAGGGAGGAGGGAGGTATGAAGCTGAGGAGCTGTTGGCAGTTGATAGCTGCTGGGAGAGGGAGAGTCAGCTTTCTTTAAGGGTCTGACACTGGGTGGGATGATCACACTCCAAAGGATGAACCCATACCAAAGAGTATCTGGGGAGAGCAAATTGGACTCAGAAGACCTTTTAAAAAATAGAGGATTAAGATGGGGGCGGATCTAAGGGGAGAGGGGCAGGGAATTTGAATATGATCAAGACACACTGTATGAAATTCTCAAATAATAAAGTATTTTTAAGTTTCATTCAAAATGAAGTTACTTTTGATCATTTCTAATTAATAATATATAGACTGGGAACAAAAGAACAATTAATTCTGAAGAGTGACTCAGCATGAATCAAAATCCCTGTAAATGATACAGACAACTATTTTTCTTTTTTATGCATAGAGTCTCCTGCTTTCGGTAGTAAATTTTTCCTTTTCCCTGTAAGCCATACTTTGGAGATTTATACATAGTCATTAATGCTTCAAATATATAATTTATTGCTTCAGATCATAGCAGAACTCTGGTACCATTTTATTCACAAATATATAATTAGTTGATTAATATAGTTGTTTTTATCAGACTGCTTAAATTTGAGGCATTATGATATTTCACATAGATCACTAAATTTTTTCAAAACTGAAATAGCTGTTGCTTAATTTTGTGCTTCATTAAACAATAATATACTTCTTATTGTTGGCAATGAGTTAATGATAGGAAATTTAATAGTTTCTCTTGAAGGCATCGAATTCTACTTTAACTCCTTTTTTTTTCTTTTTAGACAGTTATCATCCAAGTTGCATAATTAATAAAATGACTTTATTTACACAAAAATATTTTAGGTAGAGGCAAGAATGAATGATGTCAGAGACAGTTAACTGTATAATCTAAAAGTCAACATTAAAACCTCATCATCTGGTGGGAGATCTCACAGTGGTAGACTATAGGGATAGCATGAGGGAAGTGCTGAGCCGAGCCCCAGCACTCCTCAGAAACTCCCTTCAGCTTTGCTTAGAACTGTTATCGTTCACTCGGTAGTTCAGGATATGAGCCCCTCTGACTAATACTTTCCATTAAACACAGGCCATTAAGAAATAGAATTCATTGCAATAGACAGCTACCCTTCCGGGTGGTGATCCCCATTCCTCTTATAAGCCCATGTGAAGTAGTGAGGGAAAGTAAATGACATGGACAGTTTTCTAACATCGCTAATTCATTTGATTTTTGCTCAGATGGTTATGAATTAAGGAACTATTTTGTGTCACTGCTGGTTAACTGCTAAAGTACTAAAGATCAGTTAGTAAAATCCCAGCAATCCAGGAACAGACCTCACAGAGGTAGCAGTATGATTAAAAAGCAACTATAAGAATTAACGATTTTGCTTTAATAGACATAGACTTTTTAATTTTTTATGGTTAGTTTTTTTCCCTTTATATTTTTCTTTTTTCTTTTTCTAACTAGATTGGGCCCAGGACACCAGACGTACCGAACATGTACCCTACCACTGAGCTATGCCATCAGCCCGTAGATTTCCTAATAATATCTATTGAACATTTTAACAATCAAGAGTTGTAAGGAAGGCAGGTTTTCTAGATAGATATAGATAGAAAAAAATATAAATAGAAACATATAATCATATCATTGGTAATTATAATCTGGGAAAAATTCCCTGAAAAGTCTTAATTTATGTCTCAAAAAGACAAAAATTTTTTAAAAAAGGAAAGAAAGAAATCCACTTCACTAAGAGTAAAGAAATCCATATTGAGAGGAGATAGCCATTTTACAACTAGATGGATCTTTTCACTTACTGATAACAAATATTAGGAATAATTTGGCCTGTGGACATACAATGTTAGGGGTAAACCATTTTCGGATGCAGTTTGCTTAGTTTCCCCCAAAAATTTAAATTGGTGCTCTTTGCCCTGAAAATCTTTCTGAAAAGAGTTTTTTTCTTTTAGAAATAACTTATAAGATACAATTGTGTGTGTGCACATATAACTGTTTGTGCTAAAGAAACTATTTCCATTGTTTAAAAAAAATGTCTGACTAAATATAATACAAAAACACAGTTTATTTATCCATATAACATCCTACTTTTAGGATTGGTTTGTATTTCTAAAGGAAAAATACATGTTAGTGATACACAAAAAATAAAAGAATACAAAGATACAGCTTGGAAACTTATTTAGTTCACTTACTTAATGTGTATGTTTTCATTCAGAAAATGTTTCTAAGCTGTGCCATATATTTTGTCAGACTGCAAGTGATATCTCTAAAACTAAAATGAAGACTTTCTTTTTTATTTATTATTTTTATTTTTTATGTGATTTTTTTTTTCACTGCATGCACATGCACCTATGTTGTACAGTGCCCGTGGAAGTCAGAAGATATTGGATTCCCTTGGAGCTAGAGTTACAAATGGTTGTTACCTGCTCTGTGGGGGCTGGTAATCAAACTCAGGTCCTCTGGAAGAGCAGTCATTTCTTTTAACCACTGAGCCATCTCTCCAGCCCCTAAAATGAAGACTTTCATAGAAATAATTTTCCGTAGAAGGTTAGGCTGTGTATATTTATGACATGCCAAAAATCTGTGAGCTCTAGATCTACTAATCATACAAAAGCTGTTATAAAACTAAGTAGCATCTTGTAAATATTGTAAGGAAACTAATTATATTCGAGCATTGCCTACATTCTTACTGCTGCCTGATTCTTTTTAAAGCGTGTCTCGTTTGTCTTCACAGAGTTACTGGAGGTGAGCTGTTTGAAGACATAGTGGCAAGAGAGTACTATAGTGAGGCCGATGCCAGGTATGTGGCTGGCCCTGGGCCAGATAAAGACACACCACCCAGTCACTGGCATCATGCTGTATATACATTAAGCACATCATAACATAGTTTTTATGAGATTCTCATATTACCATCTTGAGCTTCTCTTTATGATAAGTCCTCCAGGAAAGTTTCTCTCTTTTAAAGGTCTCCACAATGAGTTTTTGAAAAACGGTTATAGATACTGCTCTCAACCTTATTTTTGCATTTGAGGCTAGCCACATTCAAGGGCTTCCTAACCACAAGTGGCTGGTAAACACCAGTTGTCTAGAGCATTTCTGTCATCACACAAAGGTCCATCAAGCAGATACATCCAATCAGAAAGCAGAAACAAGCCACGGATGGCCTCAGTGGGCGCTTTAAAGTGCTACTGTTAGCACTTAACACTCAAACTTTGGTTAAAGTCTTTGTAACTCTGATGTGAAGCATTTATTCAGATATTTCTGAAGGAAGTAATGTCTGAATTTTGTTAATTAACAAAATGTTCATGGAAGTTTTTTTAAAGCATTTTAAAGCTTACAATGCAGGGCCATGTAGTGGCCCACACCTTTACTCCTAGCACTTGGGAGGCACAGGCAGGTAGATCTCTGTGAGACCAAGGCCAGCCTGGTCTACATAGCCTGTGCTAGGCCAGCTGGGACTACAGGGGGACCCTGTTCCAAAACAAAACAACTTCCAAGACTACTCCAAGGCAACATTTTTTGAGTGAAGTAACATCTACTTACTTAGATCTTATTTAAACTTGACAGTATTTATTTTACTTAAATATTCTATAGTTTTAACTTATTTTGAAAATGAGTTCAAGAGCAGTTAACTTACCACAGTGTAAATGATGTTGTGAAAGTTTAGTTGCTGGGTTCAAAAAGTTTGGCTTTAAGCCAGATCTGGTGGCACATGCCTTTAATCTCAGCACTCAGGAGGCAGAGGTGGGTCTCTGGGAAATCGAGGCCAGCCTGGTCTACGTGTCAGGTTCCAGGCCAGCTGGGGCCACAAGGAGACCCTGTCTCAAAAGATTTAAAAAAAAAAAAAAAAAAAGCACTCAGCCTTAAGTTGATAGTTTTTCTTGGCTTAATACTAATGTTTATAGTGTTCTGTACATCTGTCTACACATGACTGCACTTTAATTTGTCATGGATTTTTTGCTGTCAAAATCAAGTAAAAAATTCTCTTTGACCTGTGCCATGATGAGTGATTCCTTGGGCACTCACTTTACTCAAATCCTCAAATTGGGCCCCAGGAAAAGGTCCTGAGAGTGGCTCTGGATTAGCCATTTGCCCACTGGCCGAGACAGAGTAATAATTTTAATCAAGGTACTGAATAAGATAAGGAATTTTATGTTTGTCTTTCTAACTGATGCCTTTCTAGCAGACCTTGCTGTTGTGTTTAAAAGTTAAAGACAATTTTTTTGGTTGAAGAGCAGTATGGGACACAGGGCAGACCTACAAGATGGGTTGCTCACGTTGTACCCTTTCATTAGTTTGGGAATTGATCATAGCATATTGTTTAGGATAGGTTCCACACAAAAATCAAGAACTATTCTCTTCCCAACTACAACCATAAAGAGACCATCTCCTAAAAACTTTTTTTAAACTGTTTTTGTTTTTGTTTTGTTTTGTTTGTTTTTTTGGCTAGCCCTCAAGAATTTAGGAATTAATTCCATCCTCACTAGTAAAAAGTAAAGTTCCTTTAATAGGAATTATGCTTGCTTTTCTATTTTCTTAGCTCATTGGCCAAATTACTTTCATGATTAGAGAAAACAGAAATATTCCTAAAAGTAAATGAAGTTAGCATTATGGTAACAGAGTCATGCAATTAAAAAAACATAATTCTCAGTACTCAAAAAAAGCTCTGTAGCCAACAACCTCCAGTTTGAGCCTTTTTAGGAATCAGTCATGATCAATTTGATATTATTTTGATTTTGTATTATAACAAATTAGATGATTGTTTTTCTTTAATTGAATAATCTCCTTTAGAGTATTATTATGTTACACACTACATGATTGAAAAATGTCCTTATCAAATTGTCCTCTTCATCCTTGGTCCAATGAATGTACTTTTTTACATACTTGCATTTGAACTGCATGGTGAACGTGTATGAAGTTGTCAGTGTGATGTGTTCTGCATTAGTATATGTCAGATGGCAGTGCATTCCAGCCTGCAGCCTGACTGCCAGTCAAAAGATTTCTCATTTAATTAGTAGTTGATTTGACATCAGTAAGCTTTTAATAAGAATAGCATTAATGATGTAGTTTAGTGTGATATGTAAAACTTCTTGACAAAAGTTTTGGCAATAGGTTTAAGAATTGCCAGTCTCCAAAGGATTCTTTGTTTATGCATGTATTCATTTATTTATTTACTTTTTTTTTTTTTTTTTTTTTTTTTTTTACAGGGTCTCCCTGTAGCCCCAGCTGTCCTGGAATTTTTGCAAGCTCCCTAGCCTTCCCCAGAGTAGTTTTATAGTGAAAAAGGGTTTATTTTATCACGGGCCCACTTAAAATTCTCCCTCTCCTACTGGAGCTTGTTTAGTTTTCTTATTCATATATTGTATGGGAGGCACCACTTCTAAGTCAAAATGGTGGTCTTGTCCCTCCTTTTCGTTAACCCCGTTTCACCCACCACTTCATCTGTGTTTACCCTCTTGTTTCAACACCTATGTTTAATTGTGACATCAGATTTTAAACAGTTTAGATGTGGATAACAAATATATGGAAATATTACATCTGTAGATAAATTTCCCAGGACATTTTGGGAATTATCAAATTTTCTTCCTTAATATGAAAAAATCTCAATTTCTGTATGATGACTTAACTAGATGACTGACAAGAAACACAGCTCAAATTGTTTGGTCTGTATATGTCACAAATCTGTGTTGACTGTCATTTTAGTGAGAATCAGAATTAGCTTTATTCAACATTGTTTAACTCCAGTGTAAAGCTAAGAAAAGTGTGAATAAATATAATTTTCGTTTGTTTGTTTTGTTTGAACCTTCACTTTATTTTGTATTCAATGTGATTATGTGCCTTTAAAATGTTCTCCCTTCCATTCTGCCCTTGTATCTTTGCAGTCATTGTATACAGCAGATTCTAGAAAGTGTAAATCATTGTCACCTAAATGGCATAGTTCACAGGGACCTGAAGGTCAGTATCTGGAGTCCATTCATCTGAATCAAAGGAGTTTCTGGTTTTCTGTTTGTTTTGTTTTTCTGGGAAAGGGCAGAGGTGGGGTAATAAACGGTTCCCTTGCCTTTTCCTACCTTTTCCTGACTAAATAATGAAATGACAATGCATGATGCCTCTCTCAGCTTGCTCATCTACAGGCTAAATATACATCATAGCAGGAGGAGAAGGGCAGTAGCCACACAGCCTGTTACATTTCCAGCAGTACTCTCCGAGGCGGTGTGAAGGCAGACTTTCCTGAGTCGGCCAGCGTTTGCCTGGATAAACCTGGCCTGTGATGTATGTCCGCCTGTAGATTTAAACACCACTTCTGTTCTGAGACCATGGGTTGCTGTAGCAGAACAACTGGTTACTCATTGCTCCGTTTGAGTGACAAACCCTTAGGCCGGAGATAATTGCCAGCTAGATTAAAGAACAAGGAGGTAATGATTTACCAAAAATTCATTATGTATTCTTATTTAAACTTAATGGTGCCTTGTCTGCTAACAGGGCAGCTTTTAGAATAACAGTGGAAAACTGGGAAAGAGTAAGGAAGCAGTGTGTGTGTGGAGTGGCAGCAGAGAACAGTCAGTACAGAGATTGTATTCGTGTTCCACTTCATATCACGGAAGAATTTATAGCTGGGAAATGAGCTCCCGAACAAAATGAAATACTGCCCACATTAATTGTTCAGAACAAATGGAGCAGCGTGACGGCTCACAGCTGGCAAAATCCTGATCTGAGGTAGTAGTCACTCTCCTTGAGCAATACGCTTGGATTACAGGAGTCAAAATACCGTCCTAGTTGTCTGCTAGCTCTGCACTTTAACCCAGTCTCTCTGAGGGTGTACAGACAGTGAGTGTAAGCTTGGAACTAACACACGCCCCTGGTGTTTGCATGCAGTCATTGCATTCAGCAGATCCTGGAGGCTGTGCTCCACTGCCATCAGATGGGCGTAGTCCATCGGGACCTGAAGGTGAGTAATGCTGCTGGAGAAGATGAAGCATCACGCAGTTCCTAACGACTGTTCAGCTGCAATTATGCTTATGAAGGCAGAATTCAACCAATAACGTTACATGGGTTTGTTTCAACAACCCAGACACCCTCACCACAGCCTCACTTTCATCTACATTTGAAACAGATACTTCCCTAGCTTCCCAGAGAGAAATAATTTCCTAACATTAACAATAAATAAGTTGCCCTGTTTCCTTACTCCTGGGAGAGGATGTAGCACTTAAGATGACTTTACGGTTTATGTTTCTTCTCCCCTCTATGCTAGTTCTGCAGACACTGACCAGACAGTTTACATTTATACTATATTTCTAATACTATATACACTTTAATAATTTTTCAATTTAAAAAATTACATGTATGAGTGTTTTGCCTAATCCTATGTAAGTGTACCAGGTGCGTGCAATGGCTGCAGAGGCCTGAAGGCTTCAAATCTCCTGGACCTGTGATTCCACACAGTTGTTAGCTGCCGTGTGGGTGCTGGGAACCAATCCTGCATGCTCATAATCACTGAGCCATTCCTCCAGCCCCATAACATAGACTTTGAACTCCGGTGGGTAGGTGTCATTGTGAACTTCAAGCTTCTTCCCTTATCATTGCCTCGTGGATGCTGAAGACTTTTGGTTCATCTTTTATTGACATCCTCAAGGGTCAAGAAATTAGGATCCCCTAAAAATACAGATGGGGAAAATATGCTATCAAACAAGGTATATTAAATATGATGTTTCTATTTTCATGTGGTACCTACTAATAATTGTAAAACTTTAGCCATTTTCTGATTCCATTGAGAACAAGAAATTTTTACATCATTTAGGAGCTAGTTTAGAATGAGAATACACTTCTACTTATTTTCTGTTCCCTTCTATTTCAGTTCTTTGTTGGCAACCTCAGCATTTTCCAGGCCTTGATACAAAGGTAGCAACTTTAGAATGTCTAACACTGTGTGTCTTTAGTAGAAGGACCTAGCTTGCTTTGTCACACTCAGACTTCTGTAACCATAATGAAATGTGAATCTGCAGTTTCATTTAATGTTCTAGCAGTACATGAAGGAGTGATTTATACCCAAACACTGACTTAGTCTTCCAGAATCTTCTTTTAATTTCAGTTGATTCTGGGAGTTTTACCTGTGAAAAGCAAAGTTTTAGTTAAGGGCATTTTCTTTGAAAAAGTCGGGATAGGACTTTCACGTTTCCTACAACTTACCTCGTGTATCTGTTAGGAGAGAGGAAAGACAGTAAGTTCATTTGAAAATTTGCATCTTTAGCGACAACCTCAAAAAACGATTTAGTGGCCATGGGAGCAACCAGAGCCTGCCTTGGTGCTTCTCAGAACCCGCTGTAGTGCTTTCCTGTCCTGTGGACCTATCTGCACATGCTCAGATTTCTGCTGTTTTATCAGACACTCTATTTTAAGATACACTTGAAGCGTCTCACTACATTTATGTGACCATAAGTATATTTTAAAAGTCAGAATGAAAAACATGAATTCTTTTCCCCTTTTTTTTTTTTTTTTTTTTTTTTTTAAAAACACGTAAGTCTACTCCAGGGAGTGAGGTGGGCCCACTACACCTTCCCTGGGATTGAATCCAAGATGACAGCAGCCCTGGGACATTGACTGTGAAGAAAACCATTTTGTCACATAAGATCGAAACAGTACTTTTAAAAATCCAGGCAGTTAATTAAATGCTTCTTCTGAGTATGTGGTAATTAAATAAATAATTTTAAAAAATGAACAGAAAAAAAAAATCCAGGCAGTTGCTTTCTAGAAATGCTTACTACTAAACGAATACTGCACATAGTGCAGCACTACATTGCCTGATTTCTCCAGACTTCCTTGGAGCACTTCCTAATCATACCTACTAATAGAGGTCAAAATGTGTACCTTAAAGGCGCCGTATGCACACAATGAGCACATTAAACCTCTGGCTTTGTCTTGTGCCTTTTTAACCCAACGTATGCATTCTGCATGATAAATACACTCCTTGCGATACCATATGCTAAAATTAAAAGGAGATCAGCTCCTGGCAGTCATCTCCGGGCTTTCAGCCGAAAGTTCCATACCTTAAAGGCGCCGTATGCACACAATGAGCACATCAAACCTCTGGCTTTGTCTTGTGCCTTTTTAGCCCAACATATGCATTCTGCATGATAAATACACTCCTTGCGATACCATATGCTAAAATTAAAAGGAGATCAGCTCCTGGCAGTCATCTCCGGGCTTTCAGCCGAAAGTTCCCTCATTGCTCCTTTGCTATTTTCATCTCCTTATCCTAATTCACATTTTAGTTCACATGCAATTCACATAATGAATGCAAGTAGTTTACTTAGTCCACATCACTGACAGCAGATATTGTTGCTTATCATTATCAAAGGTACTCATGCTTGTTTGTAAGCCACTCCTAGAACAACAGCTCTTAAACCTAGCACTCAAATCTGCAGTACTCAACATAGGACCTGAGTGCAGCAAGTGCTCACGGTGTATTCATTCAATTTAGGAATAAATGAGATTTAAACAAAAGAATAAATATTTCTAAATCATACATGTATAATGTAAGCATGATCTTAATAGATGATCCATAAAATGAGTTAACTGTATCTTAAAAATAATCACTAATCTAGCAGCTGATAAACTGCCAGCATTTACAGTCTACAAGATGGAAATTATCAGCATCTAACAAGAAAATCAAGGCACACAAAGCAATTTGAGGACAAGCAATAAAAGGCTCAGTCAGCACCAGACAGTTGTCAGCGGACGCATGGACCACAGTGTGTTGTCTGAGATATGCACAGTAGCGGCCCCATTGACTCAGATTTGGGAAGGATTGGAAGGATCTAACAGTGATGATTAGATAATAGTGTCATTCAGGGATGGGGCTGTATCCTTGGGCGAGCCTAGAACTCTGGTCAAAGTGGAACCTTAATAAAAATGATAATACATGTGCTTTTGTCAAGTTGTCTTCATGCAAGCTGCAGTGTATTGTATGGCTCTTTGTAGCAACTTTATGAGCAAGGCATTGTGGTTGTCCTTTATTACAGCAGAAAAACAGACCACAAGTGGAAGAATTCACTCAGGGCCGTTCAACTAGTGAGATGATTTGTTCCCAAGCAGTTTGATTCTGGTCACTACCACTTCTCAGTTCAGTTAGTTGGATGAATTGAAAACTTTCAGAGATAATAGTTCAAAATATTATAGAGAAATAATTATGCTAATTTAATGTAGGCCACATGAAAATAATTACCTTAGAAAGCTTAAAACTAGATTTTCTTTTAAATAAGGAGCAGAGAGTTGTGAAGGGATAACCAAATATTTGTCAGAATCATCTGCGGCACTCTTATCTGCTGGTATACATTACAGAGGGATTTGACCTTGTGTACGTGAAGTCCTATAGGCAATGGAATTAAAGTATATGAAAATGTATTCTGGTTCTTCCCAGAGAGTAGGAAGTACATCTGACAGATGCCACCTTTAAGAAAACACTAGGTTAATGAGAAGGTACACAACAAAATCTGACATCCGACCATAGTATGCTCATTAAAAACCTGGAGTACAATTTCTGTTAATGATTGTAAGAGGAGAGTAATGAAAGTAAGAGGAAATAGGGGTATAAGTGCGTTTTTCAAGTAGCCGTCATGCAAAGTAGTCCAAATTTTTATTTTAAATGACCAGAAATGGCCACCCAACTGCCACTATTCCATGAGCAGCAGTTTGGAGAGGAGGCTTCATAGATACAACTGACTCTTGTAGCAGCAAATCAAAACTCTGTGAATTGCGTCAACCGAGGATGCTGCTTTCCTATTGGCCTCCCTTCTGAGTAACATTATGTAATAGAAAGCTCGTCAGGTGGATGGGTAGGTGAAGAGTGTGAGAATATCAGATAGACAGGTAGGAGATACTTAAATGAGATTTGCTCTGGGGATTTTTAGGACTACTTCATAAAAATTTATGACGTGGAAAGAAATTAATTTTCAGAGAGCAACAGTAATGAGAAGCACTTGATAAATATTTATCAGCTATCAATTGTGAATTCTAAGTTTTGCATAGTTATAAAATCACACAGTTTTCGTCAGAACTGTCTTTAGACAAGCGTTTAAAGGACAGTCATTTGTGCATGGTGTTTGTCTAGCTATTTTAGATGCAGCGTTTGAGAAAATTTCAGTACATTATGTATCTGTTCATTCATTGAGTGTCTAGCATGTATCAGGCAGTGGAGAATCAGTAGCTGAGGGGGATGGTCACTCTGGACTTACACTCTTCTATGCAGGAGAGTAGGTCGCTCTTTCTGATTGAACACTGAAGCACACACATCAGCAGAAGCTCCCTGTTCTCGACATAAGGTCAAGAATTCACTCTGTTAAGAAAGCAAAATGAAAAGCTAAAACCATCTGCACAGAGGAAACAAATGAAGTCGGCATTCAGTTCATGCAAATTTTTATTTCATTCATTCATTCCTGGGAGCTTCTTTCATACTTTTTCTGTCTGAAAACATACCAAAGTAGAGAATACTTAACTGCCTATTGGAATATTATGATATTTTCAATAAAGGAAAGGAATCCTGAAGGACCTTTATATCCATTACAACTAATATCCAAGGGAATACAACATCAAATAGTATTTAATAATAAAAATGATCATTTGTTTTTATAATACTCAAAATATAAAAGGTAAGAGGTACATTTGACATATATGCTCCTCATGATGGAATCTTGCATGTGTATCACTACCACACAGGCCAGATAAATCCCTATGACGCATGCTCAGTGACCATTGCTTTGGTTACATTAAGTCCATAAAGATGGTGCCAATTAGAGAAGCAAGACTAAAATTATATCTTGTGTTTCATTAGTTTTTACCTTTTTTTTTATTTGGATGTGGGTGGTCAATATTTTTGAGTACTTCAAAATTTCTTTAAATGCCACCAAATGGACCATCTTTTGAAAATCAACCATGAGAATGGAACATCAGTACCACATCTTTAGAAGGAAAGACTTAGGGGTTGGTGGGGTTATCACCAGTGGGTAAAGTGCTCATTACACAAGCATGAGAACCTGAGTTTAGATACCTAGCACCCACATAAAAGTGGGGTACAGCCATGCACTTCTGGAATCTCATGTTGGGAGAGACAGGAGAATCCCAGGGTCTTGTTGGTCAGGCAGCCTAGCCAGTCATTGCCCTCCAGCTTCAGTGAAAGATCCTGTTGCAAAAATTGAGGCAGAGAATCATAGAGATGTTCTGTCAGCCCCACTGTCAGCTGCCACACACATAGGCACTTGCACACATACACAGTACACACACGTGCACGCATGCACACACATGCTCAAAAAAGGGAGGGGGAGCAATTTAGAAATCTAGCATTAAGTCCTAGACTCATCTTTTGGGACCTCCCTACCTTTACAAACAGAGACTTGAGTGATTTGCATCTTCCAAATCTCATGCAGTTCTGAAAGGGATTCCATTACTTACTTAAGTACTTGAAGATTGTTAAACACTTTCAAAAAAATTTTGCACCATCCTGAAAGATACTGATATTGTATCCATACGGAAATACAGTGCCAAGCTTGTGAACAGTTGCTCCTCATTACAGCTGATAATGATCAGTGGTTCCTGACACTGAGACCAGATGTCACGGAAAATCCTGCATCACTAGGAAGCAATGGGTGGGGAAGGAATCTGTGAGAGTGTCAAGAGAATCTATTTGAAAACCCACCTAAAAAGTGATTGCATCTGGCACATATAGGCCAACATAACAATCAATACAAACAGTTCTCAGGTTTTGAACGCTAGTGACAAACTGAAAATGTTTCTAGACATTGAAGTGGCCAACCACAGTGGAATTTAATACCTAAACCCCAGTGTGCACATTGTCATTTAGCCCACTTCTCTCATTGCTCTGTCTCACTTCTGATCTGTTTCTGATCCTGCCTGTTGCATTCGTCTTAAAAAGTCAAAATAGTATAATGGTAGCAAACAGGCGTGTGGTAGTGATCATTTCTAAGGAGGCAGCTGTGGGTTCGCAGAGAGCCTAAGACTCGTTCTGCTTGGGTGTAGTCTGGTCACACATATTTTCCTGTCTTAGTCTCTTAGACATTTAGAATCAGAACTAACCTACTTGACAATGCTTTTTTTTTTTTTTTTTTTTCTAAAGCCTGGTCTCCCTGTAGCCACAGCTGGCCTGGAACTCACTCTGTAGACCAAGGTGACCTCATCTCACAGAGATATGCCTGCCTCTCTCTCCCAAGTGCTAGAGTTATAGGTGTGTGCCCAACTCACCAATGAACTTTTATAATACAATATATTTTCAGCTTGGAGGTTGTGAATGGTGGTAATTCAAGAAAAGCCAAAATAAATGTGCTGGCCCCTGTTTCTTCACTAGTGATTATTAGTGATTAAGGCTGCTGTACCTTCAAAGACCATGATAACAGAATTATTCAAACTGATATTTGTATACAATAATATAAGTAAAATCTGTGTGATGTATTTAAAGTTTCATTAGACCTATCCTATTAAAATAATCTTATGGTGAAATATTTAAAAACAAAATATCTTTGAGTAAATTCAGTAATTGTCCTAACTTTTCAACTTCCATTCCATAGTTTGATATTTTAGGTTTACCTAAAAGATATACATAAGCGTAAAGCCATCATCTCTTGGTGCTACTAATTTTAACATGTATACCATTCTGTTGAGATAGGCCTGCCTTCTGTGCTTAGCTGCAGCTGAACAGTCTTCCTGGGTATAAGGTAAACCTCAGATGCAAGTTAATTCATTATTTTATAGATCACTTACAAGCCCTAGCGGGAGGCTGTCTTCATCATCTCTAGCTATGAATACTCCCCAGTCATTCAGAGGCCATGCATGATAAAACTCCAAGGCATCCATTTCTTATGAATGCCAGAGACTTGGTATTTAAGGGCTTAGTGCACATAGCCTTGCCCAGATTTTTCTCCATTTAGTGATAAAAGGACATTAAATTTTTCGAGCTTATTCACTAATGACACTGGCATTTGTTCATCTAACTTCTGAACCATTTGACTTATAGAGCCTAACATGGTGATAATTTCGTAAGTGATTGGAAAGTTGGCTGTTGTACTGCAGACATTTCCAATATCTCATTTCTTTTTTATTGTGAAAGAGACAAAGTAGAGTCAACTGTTGTTTACAGTTCGCTGTGGTTTTTCCAAGTTCCATAAATAAGTAGTGGGAAATTATGTCATGATTAAATTAGAAAATATGGAAAGGTCGTTGACCATAAATTTTAGTTGTGAACTTAAAGTGCAAAGTGTGAATAATTTAACCGATTAGATACGTTAGTGTATTTTTTAACATCTAAGGTTTCAAACAATTTCAAACATTAGATCACACTAAAAATTCTGTCAACATGGAGCACTTTCGTGATCTCAAGATGTCTTCATCTCAAACTCTAAATTAAACTATGTGTTTAGTGTTGAGATAGTTCAACGCCATATTTCAGCCCTGAAATTGACAGATTTCTTCGCATTTCCATTGGCCATGATAGTGACTCTGATGGCAGTGAGCAGCTAGCCCAGTGAAGCCGGGTACTTAATTCAAACTTACCTGCCCACACTCTAATTTCTTACAGATTTAACCTCATTTATTCTAAGTTCTGATTATGGGTATTGCTATTTTGCATGGCTGGCTTAATTCATAAATACTGGTTTGGGCTGTGTTTACTCAAGGCCAAAACAACCCAGAGAATTGACTGATTCAATGAAAAGAAAGTAGCCAACTTAATGAAAAATATGAAATTTTTGTTTGTCAACATAGAAACACAATCATTCTGGCTGATTAAATTCTCACAGTTTCAGAGAACCGTTTTGGCACTTGTAATGGCCATTGTTTCCCAACTTTTTCAATCGAGACATAAACTCCAAATTTGCTAGTGCTCATTCCAAAAAAGGAAGACCTTGAACCATTCTCACATGCGTATGCCAGTCCACCCTGTGTTCATCTAGATGCCTGGGTAGGACAGACCTCCCTGTGTATACTAGTCCACCTCCTTTTCCTAACCATCTCTCTTCTCCTTTTTTAAAAATCCATAGAGGAGGCTGAGGGAAACAAAAGGCTTTCCTTGCTCCTTGTTTTCAGAGTTACCAGCATGGTTGGGAAACAATGGTATAGACACAGCTTCATTCCAAGTCTGACTTAGCAGCCCTTGAGTAATTGTCAGTCACAAAGAAATTAAATGTATCTTTCTCAACAGTATTTTAGATGGGGAAATAAATGTATAAGTAATGTCTTAGTCACACTTTAAAAAATTTAAATTCTGTTTTAAAAATGTGGCTTATGAAGAAAAAAAAAGCTAACTATAACATTTGGCAAATGGTATACTTTTCCTGCCTTTAAGAATAAACAGATTCTTAAAGACAGCAATTTTAATGCATAATTCAGAGTAAGTCTCTGAAATGTGTGTAGAAATTGTTTGGAAACATTGAAGAATCAAAATCACTACATTTGAATCCAAATGCTCAAAATCAAGTAGAATTTAATTTGCATATTTTCATTTGCCAAATGTCTGTAGATTGGTCCAATTCTTGTTAACATTTTGCCAAGTTTTCTTCTGCTCGAAATGTTTGTGCTCTCTCAGACTTCGAAGTCAACATCCACAGCCAATGTGTACTTTGAGTGGTCCTTGGAGGCATGTGAGCAGGTCATGACAGATGCTCCATTAACTGGACCTCTTCCCAGTGTCTCTCCAGTGCACTCTGCATCTGTCTGAAGCCTGCCACATGATGGCTCTGTATCACTTTCTAACCATATTTTCCCTAGGATTCGGGAACGGCAGTCTCCAGGAGAAACAACAGTGCAGGGCATTTTTTCCTCTTAATCTTATACAAATGTTGCTAGTTTAAGTGCTCACTTTAAATAGGTTCTTACTTTGTCCTTTTTTTCTTTCTAAATAAAGCCTGAGAATTTGCTTTTAGCCAGTAAATCCAAGGGAGCAGCTGTGAAACTGGCAGACTTTGGCTTAGCCATAGAGGTTCAAGGAGACCAGCAAGCATGGTTTGGTGAGTAGTGGGCTCTCCCTTACTGGTGGTCTTCTGACCTGTAACTCCTGGCTCCTAATCACAGTATGGTGGGCATGGTCATCTAGCAGCATCTGGTCTAATTTTAAGTCATTGAACCTAACATTAAATTGGTATATAATCAGGAAATAATTCGTGGGGAAATGTTGAGAAAACAAGGTCACATACGCTTTTTAAAAAGATGGTAAAAATGGATCCTATACTGAGAATTAATATACAAAGAATACTTTTTAAAAATTTTTTGAATTTTTTGTGTTTCATACAGAACATCTCAGTTGATCTTAATTCATACACTCTGTCATTTATGTTAAGGCCTATTGTGTCAAATTAGTGTCCCCAGGTGGTCCTCAGTGCCAGTTCATCTACTGAGGCCTAGTCAACTTATCTAGAGTCCCTCACTTTAGGAAGATCAGCTCTTCCTCACCCAGCTGTAACCAGCTGTCGATATTTCTTCAGCTAAGATTGGGGTCTGCTGTCCATTTCCCCAGTTCTATACTGGGTTTTTGTCTGCTTGAATTTGCATGGGACTTGTGTATGCTGACACCATTGCCATAGAGTCATATGAACAGGGTCCCAGGAGCATGTGGAACTCTATTTCCATATGGTCATGCACCTCCTCCCTGGCTCTTAAAATCTTTCCACCCCCTGTTCTGCAATGCTCCCTGAGCCCTGGATGGGTGAAGTTTAATATAGGAGTCCTGTTCAAGAACCAGCATTCTGCTGACTCTTAATCTCTACGCTTCAGCCATTTGTGACCTTTTATGTTCCTGGTCCTCTGTTGCATGAGGGAGCTTCATTAATGAGAGTTGAGAGATTCATTAGTGACCTCTTTATCCCTGTTCTAGCCCACTCAATTGGAGGAAACTCAAATGTGGTACTATAAACGACCAAATACACATAGCTGGAGAGGTCATAGATCTTAGAGAAAACCCCAAGACTATCACATCCTTAGATTAATATAATATAATTTCTTACTGAATGCAAAATATGTATCCTTATATTTACAGACAAATATCCCAGTCACCACTCACCAAAGAAACTTCTTTTGTACTAGACAGAGACTATTACCAAGTACCACTACTGGTCACACACAGACAATGTCTGCGAATTGCCCAGGCCTAACTGACACATCTACAATGCAACCTTTACACCTCAGGCTCACAGAACAAAGAATACTTTTTTTTTTTTTTTTTTTTTTGGTTGGTTTTTTGAGAAAGGGTCTTCCTGTAGCTCTAGCTGGCCTGGGACTCATTATGTAGAACAGGTTGGCCTCAGTCTAACAGATTCTTCTGCCTCTGCCTCAAGAGTGCTAGGACTAAAGGTGTGTATCACCACAACCTAGAAGTGAATAAGGGGGAAAAGGATATAGTCTTAAAGTGAGAATTAAGGGGCTGGAGAGAAGGCTCAGCAGTTAAGAACACTGATTGCTCTTGAAGAAGACCCAGGTTCGGTTCCCAGCACCCACATGGCGGCTAACACTCATCCATAACTCCAGTTCTAGGGGATTCGACGCCTTCTTCTGACCTCCTTGGACATTGCACAACTTGGGCGCACTCACATACATGCAGGCGATACATTCATACATATAAAAATAATAAATAAAATATTTTTAAAAACAAGAAAATCTTTAAAAATATATTTAAAATGAAAATTAAAAGAAAATACAGGAAATTGTTTTGTATATTACATTATATATTATTATATGTGTGTTTGTGTTGTATAGGGATGTATGTACATGTACATATGAGTGGAAGTCAGAGGGTAAGCTTGGTATTATTCCTTGGGTGCCATCTTTTTTTTTTTTTTTTTTTTTAGTAATTATTCCAAACAGGTTAGGCTCATCAGCCAACTGTGTAAATAGTAGGTAATCAGAATGTACTCAATATTTCACGTTTTGTTACTAGTGAACTAAAACTTAAAATAACATATCATGTATTTATATGTATGTGTTTCATCTACTTTCTATGTAACGATTTTCGCACCAAAATTCTGATAATTTCAAAATTCCTATGTGATGAAAATTCCGTTTCTTTATGTTGGTGTGGTGTGATAGCTGTCATCGTGAGAGTGATGATGGTGAGCATTTCCCTAAGAAAAGACAGGCTAATAATAAGGGAGGTACATAGAAATTTTATTTCATCCAAGTTTTATATGATATTAAAAGGAAGTTCCAATGAAAACTGTTTTTATTCTTGAGTTAATGAATAGTGTACAGCTGGATAGGATTGTAGCTGTTCCAGGTTACAGACGGAGGGGAAACTGATATTCATATATATCAGTTTTATTGTTTTGTTTTTGTTTTTTAACAGGGTCTCCCTTATCCCAGCCCACCTGGAAGTCACTGTATGGACCAGGTTGGCTTCAATCTCACAGAGATCTGCCTGCCTCTGCCTCCCAAGGGCTGAGATTAGAGGCACATGCCACCACACCCAGCATCCCAATATTTATAAATAAGGCCAAAATTGTAATATTTCTAGCCTGACTCTTGGATGATTCCAGTATGGAGATTGAATAACTTGCTTCACTCCTCTCTACCTTTTTGCAATATTAATCCATTTTACATGTATAGTTCTAAATCATCCTTTCCCCAGCCTCAGTCCTAAATCTTGTCTGATTTTTAATGTGTTAAGATGAGATAATTTTTAAAATATCTTTTACTTGAGATTCTATTTCTTCTGAACAACAAAAAACATTTTTAAAGTGCCTACTTCTTTTGTAGTATGTGGAAGCACTTACTGGTATTTATCTCTCATGTAAACATCTAAGATGTGCACATAGCTCCCAAGGTTCCCCTTAGCTTTCTAACATGCCCCTGCTAGCTACTAGGAGGAAGTGGCCTGGAATCCTTCCCCAACACCTTTGCAGCAGCCTAATTCAGGACCTTCTTTTCTGTTGTCGGACTCAGAAGTTCTGACTGATCACCTTATCAACAGCCTCTCTCCAGCTTAATGTTACCTTTTGCCTGGTCTCTTTACCATGGTTCCCCTCCTAATAGACTATAGTAACTCCAAGCTTATCATTGGGACTGGCATATTTTGACATTTGAATAAGCTTTAACCTAGTAAAGTGAATGTCAGGAAGACCTAGACTTAGTTCTATAAACTAGAGATGCATACCTATTCCTAAATCCTAGGGAAGAATATGGTTAGCATGTATGAAAAATGAACAGTAACAAGAGAGAGGGAATCAACAGAAAGTAGTGAAACTATTGTAGATATGGGCAGAATAAGTTACTGCATTAAGTTGCAGTTCTTCACCCTCAGGAATAGAAGCCTGTGTCCACAGCTGTTCACCATGCAAGGTAAGGATACCTTACACAGCATCAAAAGGGTGATCTGAAAAATCAAGGGAAAGAGTATGAAATGCTCCTTCTGAGGAAAGCTTCATTAGTTCCTTAAGCAGTAAGTGGAAAGTTGTCCATCGGCAAGAACAAACATACAGGCATTCCAGACAGGAAAGAGCATGTGCAAAGGTTTAGAGACAGAAAACCAGGCTCTATTTCAGGACTAACAAGATGTTTAACTCAGCTGACATATAATGTGATGACAGTTAATGCCATGGGAATGGATTTTATATCATTTTGAAAGGTCTGATTCCATCTGAGAAGATTCAGGCATCTAGTGCAGCATTTTTAATGGGCATCTGTGACTTTAGATATACAATAATGATTTCAGTCTTTGCACCCCAGACCTCTGGCCAAAACTCCTCAGTGCTTCCTGATCCTTTGCATCCAGACCAACACAGTTCTGCCCTCTAGTCCCCAGGAGCCTTTGGGGCCTCTTCCCGTCCCCACCTCCCTTTGCATCTCTGGGTGGCCAAGCCCCACAGCTTCCTGGAGCCAGTAACTTTCCCGGGTAAGTTTGGCGGTACCCACTGCACCTTGACTCCCCCAGCCTCATTCATCCTCCCAGCTCCCCTACACAATATGTCCTCCTCGCCTGGCTACTGGCCCATTTCTTGGCTTGGCACCCCAGACCCCTGGACTGATCTCTTAGCCCAGAATCCCCACTGCTTCCTGATCCTTTGCATGCAGACCAACCCAATTCCTCTCTGTAGTTCCCAGGAGACCTCAGGGCCTCTTCTCATCCCCACCTCCCTTTACATCCCTGGGGGCACAGCCACCAGCTTCCTGGGGCCAGCCTCTTTCCTGGGCCCTGCTCCCAGGACAGCCAAGCTCTCAAATTCTTAAGGCCAGCATCTTCCCTGGAGGGATCCAGACCTTAGGAGAAAGCCTGAGAGCAACTAATCCTCATCTGACTTGGCCCTCTGTGGGAACTCCTGAGCAGCACGATGAAAGCCATCTGGTCCCTCCAATATAAAATCAAAAGAGAGAACCTGAAGCCTAGACCATCCAGCTTTTTGTGTCCAACAAGTAAACCACAAAGGCACATAAAGTTTACAAAAAGAATCCGACCTAAACTCAACAAAGGAAGGTTTGAGTCTCACACAAGAATGAGAAACTACAAAAGAAAATCGCATGTCAAAGTCATAGAGAAAAAATAATAACAATGGAAAACCAAAATAACATATCTCACCAAATATCAATAGTCCTCTAGAAGAGTACGAGAACCCCCCTAAAGATAACACAGGACATGGAACTCAAAAGAACAGTCATAAATATAATAAAAGAATTCAGTGAATTTAAAGAAGACACAAACAAATCAAAGCACTGATAAAAGATAGGGATAAACTTGTGAATGAATTCAGAAAAGAGTGAGAAATATTGACGAATACTCAGGTCGAAATGAAGAAGGAAGTGAAACACTTAGTAAGCCAATTAGAAATGACAGGAGAAAGCCTCAACAATAGGATGAATGAAATGAAAAACAGAATATCAAGATTGGAAGATAAAGTGGACGAACCAGACCACTCAAGCAAAGATTATAAAGAATTTAAGAAAACACAAGAATGGAATATGCAGGAATTATGTGACACCATAAAAAGACCACACTTATGAATCATAGGCATACAAGAAGAAGAAG